AAATGAGAGTTCTAGAGGGGAGGGGGGGTGGGGGAATGGGTTAGCCTGGTGATGGGTATTAAAGAGGGCACGTACTGAATGAAGCACTGGGTGTTATACACAAACAATAAATCATGGAACACTACATCAAAAACTAATGATGTAATGTATGGTGATTAACATAACAAAATAAAAGAAAAAGAAAAAAAAAATCTATCCAGGACTAGTCCAGGAAAATCAGAAATATACCACAGCAGGATGAAAGTTCACAGCCATTAAAAAAATAATTTGTGGTTGTTCATAAAAATAATGTATGTTCATGATAGTAAATTTGAAAAAATATAAGGAAGAGGGGAAAATCATATTCAACTGCACCACGCAGAGATCACTGTGCACATTTGGGATTTTTAGTTCCAGGAATTTATTTTTTCTATATAGTTTTACACAGTTGTGCTCATATTAATACGCAACTTTGATTTTTTTTTTACTTACAGTACAATTACTTTACCACATTATTTCATCTATCATAAACAAAACCTTAAATGGCAGAATGATTTCTATGAATCATAACAGCTATTTAACCATCCCCTTACATTCTGATATTTAGTTTGCTTTCAATTTTTCTTTTTTAGAAAAATAACCATCTTTATATATAAAAACATTCCCACAAGTGTAATTAATAAGATTCTTGATGCACATAGGACCTTACAACTAGAAAGGCATATGAAACCTGGACCTCTCGGGACTGCTCAGGACAGCTGTTTAGGCTGTGCACTGCAGACTCCAGTGGGGCCATTCACAAAGTGCACAATCTACACCACTGCAGGCAGAAGACCTGACTCTGCAAATCTGTCTTTCCCCCCAGCTTTACTGAGACACTACTGACACACAATATTGTGTAAGGAGTAGAATGCACTGATTTGATACACTCATATATCGCAAAATGATTTCTACCCATGGCGTCAGCTAACATCTTATCACATAACTACTATTTCTTTCTTGTGGTGACATGTCAGGTGTACTTTTTTAGCAACTTTTGCAGATCTCTGTTGCTTGATCAACGCGATATAGCTTTCCACCACTGTGGCAACTTTTCACAGCCTTGCACCTGTAGTTCATACACACGTTTCCTACCCCATCACTGAGGTATTTGACTTGTTCTATATAGGCTCTAACTGAAAGACTTAACTATGACTATAGCAGTTATTATTGCACCACAAATACTTAAGAGGTGTGGGGTATGCATGTCGTTCCTGTGAAGATGAACAACTATATAGATACCAAAAGGGAAAAGCACAACACACACAAAAATGCAGAATCTAAAATCATTTCCCAATAAAATCTGTATTCTAGATAAAAAGACTAGAAACATGCTTCTCTCTCTCCTTTCCCCTTCAAAATCCCACTGAAATTACTGAAAAAGTGTAAAAACAAGGATAAATCCATAGGAATATGGGATAAGATGAAAAGGTGTATCAGATGTATTGAGAGGTACTTCTGAATTACTGAGCAATTTCTAGAAATTATAAAACAGATGGTGTCAATCTGACAGAAAAAGGGAGTTGAGACATCTGTCTGCTGATGCAGAAGGAGGGGACAGCTGAAGTGACTAGATGCACTTTACCAACTGACACCTGAAAAATCCAGCTGGGGCTGGGAGACAGAACAGGCCCTAGGAGAGCAGCAGGACTTGCCTCCCGACCAGTTCCGTGTCTGTTCAACCTCCCACCACAAACAAAAATAAACCCAAAATGGCTTATGGACCTAAATAAAAGAGAAAATCTATGGAACTTTAAAAAGAAAAAAGTAAATCTTTGTGATCTTGGGTTAGCTAGGCACTGATTTCTTAGGTACAATACCAAAAGCACAGGGGATAAAATTTAGAACTTTTATATTTCAAAAGATACCACCAAAAAAGTAAGAAGAAACCCCCTCAGAATGGGAGAAAGTATTTGCAAATCATATAGTCAATAAGAACTTGTATCTAGACTTCATAAAGAATTCTATGGGTCGATAATAAACAGACAAATGAACAATTTAAAAATGGGCAAAGAGGGGCCCCTGGGTGGCTCAGTTGGTTAAGCGTCTGCCTTTGGCTCAGGTCATGATCCTGGGGTGCTGGGATCGAGCCCCGCACGGGGCTCCCTGCTCCACGGGGAGTCTGCTTGTCCCTCTCCCTCTACCCCTCCCCCCTGCTCATGCTCTCTCTCTCAAATAAATAAAATCTAAAAAAAAGAGAGAGAACTTTTTAAAAAATGGGCAAAGAATTCAAATAGACATTTCTCCAAAGAAGACAGAGATGGCCTGTAAGATGCTCAACTTCATTAGTCATTAGAGAAATGCAAATCAAAACCAGAGATACCATTTCTCACACACTACAACATCTGCAATTAAAAAAACAAACAAACAAAAAAACCCCCAAAAACAGCACACAATATGTGCTCAATGAGCACGTGTAGAAGTCTCAACCTTTTCAGGCTGGCCACTGAGGGTGAAAAATGGTACCGCTGCTCTGGAAAACCCCGTGCCCATTATTCCTCATTCATACCCCCAGCCCTAGGTGATTGCTAAGCTCTTATTTGTCTCTAGATATTTGCTCTTTTTTGGACATCTCACATAAATGGTATCATATAATATGCAGTCTTTGCATCTGACTGCCTTTTCATAGCATGCTTTTGAGACTCATCCGTGTCACAGACTACAGTACTTCATTCACCCCTTTTATCGTTTAGCAGTATCCATCATACGAACGTATCACATTTTGTTTATCCATTCACCAGCTGAGAGACAGTGGGTTGTTTCCACTTTTGTCTGTTGTGAATAATGCTGCTATATGCATTCACTGCAAGTTTTTGTGTGGACATATGTTTTCAATTCTCTTGGGCATATACTGGGCCATATGATAACTCTGTTTAACATTTTGAGAAACTACCAAACTGTTTTCCAAAGTGGCCACGCCATTTTACATTCCTTCCAGCAATGTGTGAGGGTTCCAATTTCTCGAATGTTGTTGAGCATCTTTTCCTGTGCTAATAAGCATTTGTGCTAATAAGGCCATTTGTGTATCTTCTTTGGAGAAATGTCTATTTCAATCTTTTACCCATTTCTTAATTGGGTTGCCTTTTTACTGTTGAGTTTTAAGAGTTCTTTACATATTCTGGACGTTAGATTCTTACCAGATACTGTATATGATTTGCAAATATTTTCTCCCATTCTGTGGGTTGCCATTTCACCTCACATACTCTTGATATTAATAAAACTGCACAGACTTAAATACTTCACGAGTTAAACTAGTAGATTAGAAACAGAATGATAGATCCTTTGACATCTTAGAGAGGAAAAAAGGGAACACAGAAAATTTAATTCAATGTGAAGGGAAAAGGCTGGTTTCTTATTTTGCATTTCCCTGCTCTGTTTCCTTTTCTGAGAAAGACTTCTTTACAGCCATTGCCCACTTTTTCTGTTGAGCCGAAAGCGCTTTCTTCTGGAGGGTAGAAGTTTGCATACTCAGGATGATAATCACTTATTATATGCACTGCAGGTATGTTCCCCCAGCCTGTCTCTTGCCTTTTCCCGTTGCTCACAGTGGTCTTTCCCTTACAGAAGTCCTCACAAAGAGCCTTGTTGTCAGTGGCACCGTCCGACTCTTGGAGATGTTCCTACCCACCAACCTCCTGGGGGTCTTTGCACCTGCCTAACCTCCCCCAGCTGTTCTGGAGGCCCATCAGCATATTCCTGACTATTTACTGAAAGTCTGAATCAAAGGCCAGTTTCTCAGGGCAGCATCCCCAGCAGGTGTAGACTCAGGCTTTAGGCCAACTCATGATCTATTCCTTTTGGCACCAACCACTGGAAAGAAGGAGGGGAAGGGAGCAGGGGGAAGAGTAGGAGGGGGGGCAAAGGGGCAGAGGAGGCAGATAGGCTTAATTTTTCCTCTTGCCAGAAGGGATAGGGACCTTTTCCCTCTCCGTTTTCTTAGAGCTTTTCAAGAAAACCTGTATTTACAAATCCTTTCTCTGTTCCTTTGATACGTATATGTATGTAAATCTTTTTTTAAAAAAAAACAAAAAACCTCTTGTCAGCACGACAATCCAGGAATGTTTTCCTTAAGGGCCTGGGAGCCATCACTTTGAAATGTAAACATCAAGGAAGGCAGCACTCTATATCCCTATCACTTTGGGAATTCAGTCTGGGTGCATTTGTGCCGAAGTGTAACCATCTGCTTGCCATAAAGATAAAGGAATTTTTTTTTTTTTATAAAGGCAATTCACTAACACAGGTGGCCACCCCAATTACCAAGTAAATTCAGGATAAACTATAAAAGAAGGTACAACAACGGTGCTGTCAAATCCCCTCATATGAGGACAAGTTATCATTCATCTTCAAAACATTTATGTAATGGATTGTATATGCCTGGCTATTTAAAAGGGTGAGATTTCTCTGTTTTTGCAATCTCATTAGTGGACGGCCTGTAGGGTGCACCACAGTCTGGTTTGATGCTTATTCAAAACAACACCATTTTCTTTTTTTCTACATTTGTGGAGAGGAATTTCTGGGTTGGTAGGAGTTTTTTCATTTTTCCCCTAACAATTGCCACAGTGTATTTTTCAGTAAAAAGCAAACTACAGAACAATATATATCGTATTAATCCTATATAGCGTAGTAGTTCCTATTTTTAAAATAGACAGTATCTGTATTAAACCATTAAAAGTTGTTACTGCTGTGAAGAACTGGAGAAGAAGAATTCCAATTTTTATTTTATCTACAGCTGCAGGATTTGTTCATAATGAACATACTTCAATACTTCCACAGTGAAAGCAAAACACCTCACTGGAACTTCTGTGTTTTCATGAATTGACATTAAAAATATTGTTCCTAAAAAAAAAAAGTATGGGGCGCCTGGGTGGCTCAGTCGATTAAGCGACTGCCTTCAGCTCAGGTCATGATCCTGGAGTCCCGGGATCGAGTCCCGCATCGGGCTCCCTGCTCGGCAGGGAGTCTGCTTCTCCCTCTGACCCTCTCCCCTCTCATGCTCTCTCTCTATCTCATTCTCTCTCTCAAATAAATAAATAAAATCTTTAAAAAAAAAAGTATGTATATATTTTTCATGGAAAACTATTTTTCCTAAGATGGTCTATTTTTTTTCCTAAAGGAAATTCATATAAATAATGTAGCTTTCAAAGTTTTATTCTTTGTAAATAGTAGCAAAACACTTGATTTTGGATACACGAGACATCTTACCTGGACAATGAATGAAAGACCAGTTGTATCTGCTGTCCTCCAGGCACATGCTGGCATTGAGAAGGGGCTGTGGGTACGAATTCCCCACAGGGGCCTGAGAAGGCATCTTCACTGGTCCTTTATAGGAGCCCTCTATACATTTGCCTTTGCCCGTGTTGCTGGGATCAGTGCACCAGCCGCAGCCTGGCTGCTCCAAGCAATGACTGCAGGTACAATAGCCTGAACAATTTTCAGCTGCAAAAGAACACAAGTTACAATTCACTACCGCACCTAGCTTTGAATTCACTGTCTTTAAATTACCTTTTTTAAGTTTTTTTTTTAGATTTGTTCATTTAAGTAACCTCTACACCCAACGTAGGGCTTGAACTCACAACCTGGAGATCAAGCGATGCGTGTTCTTCCTACTGGGCCAGCCAGGCACCCCTAAATTACCTTTTATTTAAACAGACTATTCTGTCCGTCAAAATTCCTATTCTAAGGTGATCTTTTAAAAAAGATTTTTATTTATTTATTTGACAGAGAGAGAGCGCGCGCGCGCACAAGCAGGGGGAGCGGCAAAGGGAGAGCGAGAAGCAGGCTCCCCGCTGAGCAGGGAGCCCGATGTGGGGCTCGATCCCAGGACCCCAGCATGCTCAACTGGTTGAGCCACCCAGGCGCCCCTCTAAGGCGATTTCTTAAAGGACACAATAAATTTAAAGAGCCCAATATCTTGCCCAACATAGAACAGGGGTTCCTCCCCTCCTCTATCAATCCCAGGATGTGGAGGCAGAAGGGACCTTAGCGGTCATCTACCAGAAAGCACTTATTTCATGAATCAGGAGAGGAAGATGTGGAGACATTACATGGATTGAGCAATATGATACTGAAGCTGAGCAAGGGGTTTCTGTACCCTGTCCTACAGGGCTTGATTCTTTTTAAACATTTATTTATTTGAGAAAGAGCAAGAGAGAACGAGTGGGGAGAGGGGCAGAGGGAGAGAGAGAATCTCAAGCAGACGCCCCAACTGAGCAGGGAGCCCCGACGCAGGGCTCAGTCCCACGACCCTGAGATCATGCCCTGAGCCGAAATTGAGAGTCGGATGCTTAAGCGACGGAGCCACGCAGGCGCCCCTGCAGTGCTTGAATCTGCATGAAGGTTCTCCTCCCCTCAGGCGGTCTCTGGTCTTGCTGCGCGGCAGGAGCCGCTCCCTTTCACTTACGGGGGCAGCTGCTCATGGTGTACCACTCCATACACTGGCCAAAAGGGAAGGAAGCCACATAGGCATTGGAGTCCACGCACTGCTTCATGTTGCTGCACCACATGCACTCAGAGCTGCCGCTGGTACACTCTCCACACGCCGTCCGCAGGGCACACGGCGTCCGGCACTGCTTCGCGCTGTGGTTCGCTGGGAAGCAAACCCAGGACACTTAGAGCTCCCGCCACATTGGCCAACATCAAAGGCTTTTCGGGATGGCTTGTGACCCACTAGCGTGTCATGAAATCACACCAGTGGGCTACATTAAATGTAGGAGAAAACCAAAAACATGGAGTCGCCCTGTACTGGGCTAGTCAGGTATATTCACACACTGAGAGGAAAAAACTCTTTCTTTTCGAAGAGTGTTAAGGACAGACAGGAGGGAACAAGCTAATCTTTCCATAAGCGTGGCAGTTCTAAAGCTCCTTGCAGTATACGGGACTCAGGATGACCTTCAGGGGTTTTACGATCCACCTGAACATGAAAACTCGTATCTGTTATTTGGGGGAAGAGGGACCACAGAATTCATTACATGCACCAAAGCATTCAGGACCCAAAAGGGCTGAAAAGCTCCCCTACAGGAAGCTTAGAAACCATATTTTACGAGGACTCTTACAGGGCTATGAATTCTTTTCTACACCTCTGTACTCCTCAGATGACTTGGAGTACCATCCTAAAATGAGACACAATGTCAATGGCGTCCCAAAAAGTGCGCACAAAATTCCACCTACGGCACGTGAGTCCCTCTGCAGGGTAAGATGCTCGTCTCGGCTTGTCTGCGCGCTGCAGATGCTGCCCCTGAGCCTGCCCACGGGAGGCCTGAACGTAGCCCACGGGGGAGCTGTGAACCCGAGAAGCTCCCCAGTGTGTGCTCCTCAGTACTCTCCCACAGCGCTCACACAGTCCCGGTCAGCTTCTGCTTTCTGTCGTGTAACTGCTCTCCCCATTTCTCTCCCCACTGACGCTTTCTGTCTACTGTCCCTGCAGTGACCTGCTTGCTTTTCTGATCTTTTCCTTACATTTTTTGTCCTTTCTTCCAGAGCGTTTCTCTGCCAACCTTAAGACATTTGCCTTTCAGAGCAATTCTCAGTACTTTTTATGGTCAGCAAACCAATCAATCTCACTGCTAATTAGAAGGTTAGGTTCTTTGAGTAGTGTTAGTTATTTTTGTTTATGCTTCAGCTCATACTATTCAGAGCCGGAGACTATTTCCTTCCACTTGTAAGTGCTGGGTTACACTCCGCTTCATATGCTTGAAATCAATACTCCCCATCTGTTTTTCCTGACCATCTCACACCTCTCAATATTTCACTACGCCTCCTATGGTCTCTTTCAGTGAACTTCCAATGATACATCATTCACCCAGACACTTACCAGGCCTTTCACAGACACTGCCATTGAGTGGGTTGATGCAGGTTGCAGCCTTCAAACCCCGAGTACTGGGTTCTGACAAGATTCCACAGAATCCAGCATCACTGGGCTCAGACGGCATCCACTGGAGCAAAGTATTTGTGAATGGGGACATATCTTCCCAGCACCAGTAGGACACATTGATCTTCCTAAGGCCAACCCATGGGGTTAAGGTGAGCTTGGACTATAGGCAAAAGAGACACAGCTTTGAATATAAGCGATGTCTTGAGCAAAAGAGCCTTCTAAATAAAAACCACTAAGTTACATATGCCCCGCAGATGAAGGAAAACCTCCCCATCCCAATCCAGCCACGGCAGATTAGGACAGACCATCATGTCACCCCCTTCTACTACACTCATGAACTAGAACTCTGCCTGCCGGGCACACCACAGGGAAGCTGCATGGGTGCGCTCAGGACAAGGGTGGATACTAGAAGCTAAAGTTCTGAGGATGTGAACTCACCATGCTCTGTGATGACTGCATTATTCGCAGCTGCTTAAGGACAAATTCTACCTTCTTCTGGGTTGTAAGAGAAGCCAAAAAGGCATTGTGGTTCCTACAGGACAATTTAGCATTGTCATAATTCTCCTTGGCAGTAGTAATTTTCAAACAGGAGTTTCCGACCAAATGCCAGCCAATGCCACAGATATTTTCTTTTGTAAAGGGGAGAGGGAAAAAAAAAAGTTTTAGAAATCACAAAAAACTACTACACTACCAGTTCGAATGATCGGAAACCTAAAAGGTTTCTGCGATTTGAATTCCACGGTACTTTACTAGATGTGGTGAGGGCATCCGACACATTACTAAGGACCGATGCAGAATACAAGAATGTTAGACTTCACCAGTCCTATTTCCTGGATCTCAAGAGGCATATTCTAAGGTCAACTCTCTATGTCTTAGAAGAAAAAAATCTTAGGTCCTAGTGCTAGATTTCTAAACCCCCTTTTGAAGAACTATTAGAAACAAGACTAAAATCCTAAGAACAGAAAAATGAGTATGCGGATTGGAAGGGTGGGGAAGAAAACTGGTGGATAGAAATGAGTCGTTGAGTGAACAAGACGATGGTCTTCAAAAGCTTCATTGTTTCACATCAAGTGGAAGGTAAAATCAAGGGTACAAAACATCCTGAAAGTGAGGTGGAAATATCCTTTTCAGAAAAAAACAAACAACCCTAAGTGATACAGGTGCAGCACACAAGGTAAGACTGTAATCTGCTCCTGTGATCGCCCTGAACCCACCCAGCTCAGCTCCATGCCCCAAACTGCACAGAAGCTCTGTGCACTTCCTGGGAGACAGGGAACAAGCAAGGCAACTTTGCCAGAACCAAGTACCCTAGAGACACCACCAGCGATGCCCGGGACCAGTCAGTGAGGCAAGTGGACGGTGCCACAGGAGAGGGATCATGTAAGAGCAAATAAAGCATCTGCTCTTCCAAGTGTGACATCAGTGTCCCTACTCATTAAAATGTAGATTCTAGCCCCCCTCCCCTGACGTGTACCAGAATCTGACTTCTGACAAGACCCTCAGGTACTCCCCGGTACACTGAAGTCTGTTGCAATGGGTAAAGAAAAGCAGCTCACACTCATGCAAGCTGAATCAAGTACTCCCAAAGGGCACTGAAAAGGGGCCTGGCAGACCCTGCTGCCCTGTGCATGCTTCAGGTGCTGTACGGAACCATCGATGTCCCCCTTCTTGGAAATCCCAGTTGAGCAAATATATCACAGAACTTCTGTTGTGGCTGGCTAGCCTGAGGCCCTCAACTCTTCGCCCTGAACCTCAAATGCCATAAACTGAGGTTTCAGGACTGGAGATGACCTCAGGGGGGTGCTGCTGGTGTCTCCTCCTTCTTGTCAGAAGGTGTTGACAGCCTAATCCCAGTCGTCAGTATGAAGTATTCTTCACAAAGTGCCCCGCAGACTGGCTGCCAAGACTGCTGCTTTCTACAGCCAGGTGACCACAGCAGAGGCGAGCGGGGACAGGGGAGCAGGCTCGATGATATGGAGCCAAGCTGTCATTCTAGCCTCCAGGGCAGCAGATGATGCTTCACTTTATTTCGAAGGACAGGAGGAGCAAATGCTTAAGACCTGTATTTTCATTTTAAAAAATAACTAAAATAGTGGTATGGGGGAATGAATGGATAAAATGAGTTTGTTCCTTCTGCTGGGTTTAATCTAGGCTGCACAGTATTGGGGTGGGGGTGTGTGTGAAGTCTCTGGACCCACACACATCCAGATGCCCCGACAAGGCCTACCGGGCAGGGCAATGCACTCCTGATTGCGGGGCTCCCACTGGCAGTTCTGGTCCAGGGCACAGCTCCTGCAGCTGGTCTTCTTGTTACAGTAGTACATGGGGTTATCCTTGGGACAATTCTCGTATCTGGAAATGGAGATCTAGAACAGAGTGGACAAAAGCTTTTCTCTTAATCCACGGACAGAACTCATGGTGAGGACAAACAGGATTCTAAAATCGACAAAATCTAACTGAGGAAGCAAACTGCAAATAAAGAAGTAAGTAAGATGCAGAGAAAGCAGCCCTGCAGGGGAAACAGTGTGCTGAAATCTTCTGCACAGGGCATGCCTTGACGTGGCAAGGAGGCAAGGCGCTCTTTTAAACACCATGCTTTAACCTACTCATCTGTGAAATGGGGGTGTTCAACCTGCTGCTTTTCAAATGCCTCCCAGTCTAAAACTTTCATATTTTATGAACTGCTTTACAGAATAAGCTGTCAAAAACTACAGAGGCTGAGTCATTGTATCTTTTTTCACCCTATAACCTAAATAAAAAAATCATATATGGTGAGCATAAATTATACTGAGCATAAATTATACTGAGCCACGATATAACATAAGACAAGGAGATTTTGCAAAGTCGCCTGACTCACCTTCAGTCTCAAGTCCTAACTTGCTCGCAAAAGCTTGCACAGGTAGAGTGAGGTCACCGTGACAAGCCGCACACCAAGCATCTAGGACCTAGCTACAGCCATGCCTAGGGATGGGGAGTACACAGAATAACAGTCCTACCTTCTTCTAAGATACTACACACCAATCCTTGTGGCTAGCAGGACCTTCGAAATTAAGATGTACATAGCATCCCTTCCTAAAAGAAAGCCTGAGCAATAATAAACTCTAAAACTATACCGGAGGTTTTAAAAATCCCTCTGGGCCAGTATTTGTATCATACACACCATAATCTCACACCTAACCCCCCCCCCCGGGGTTTTTTCATCCTCTGAAACCCTTGAGAAGTGGACCCTGACCTGGGCTTCCGTGCAGCTGTGGTTCACGGGGACACAATGGTCACTGCACCAGTGACAGTCATTGGTGTTGGCTGTGCAGCTGTAACAATCCGTGTGCTGGTCACATCTGTCGTGGTCAAGAGCTATGAAAAGAAGAAAAGCTCATCAACTGTGACAGCTTCTCCTTAGAATAAGTCACAGGCCACTTACAGCTGCTGTTGAGCATAATCTAAGACGAAGGTTTTTTTTTTAAAAAAAGTAACAAGGGTTGGCAAGTAAAAGAAGAAGAAAAACTGGCAGGAAAATATATCGGTGTGTTCAGGTTAAAAGAGTACTTAGAAATAAGTAAACAATGTGAAGAAACACTATTTTGTAAACCTCCCTGCCCCCAACAAAAGTACAGAGAGAGGGAAAAACAAAGATAGGTTACTTTAACTCAAGGACAATGAGATATGATGGAAGTAGGTCTGGTTCTTTGAATACTTTTCTTCCCAAGAAAAAAAGCAACCAACACCAAGAGCTGCCCAAGAGCCAAAGTAATGTAGAAGACCAAGCCATCCTCGCCAGTTACAAATGCAAGGCTAATCTGGGCACAGGAAGCAGGCAGCACCACAGAACCCCAAAGGAGATACTAGGCTGAGCTACAATCTACACATGTATGTAAGTCTAAGAGTGCAAGTTTCAGAATTTCTGGGCTACTACAGACCTGCTGCATCTCCTACTGACCCTAGACAGGTCAAGGTCAGCAACAAAAAAGAGGCTGCACAACCATGTTGCTTGATCTACTGATCCACTTATGGACATGGCACATGGGGGAACCCATGGACAAGATAAGGTAGCCCCCCACCCCGGCAAAGCATGCTCCTTAGGCTACTCTACCTGCCCTGGTCATCACCCCAAGGACTGGGTCCACACAGAAAGCAGAGTGACCAGGGATGCGACATTTAAGATGAGTTCACAGCAAAGAGGTTTATATTGAACCACCTATAGTAATGAAATATTACTTCCTATACTCTTGCACATTTAATTTGAACTTTTAAAATTTGGTTAAAAAAAACCAATTTCACAGATTTTATTCCTTGGAAGAGACACTGTCTAACCCTACCAGGTTCTGGTCCTCTCAGTTTTCTAGCACTCACTGGAAAGTTGTCTGGGTGTCCTTTTGGGGATTTATGCTCATCTTAATTTGGAGCATTCCAGTACAGTGAAAGCTGACTCTATCCACCATAACCCTCAACGTAACTTGCTACACCAATTCCAACAGTTAAGAAATTCAGTCAACATTCTTTAAAATAACTGAAGTGAACAAATATTTCGCAGAGACTTTTTTTTTTTTTTGAAGGATTTCTCAGCTTTTACATCACTGTATTACACTGTGCTGTATCTCAGAGCAAAAACATAAGAAGCTAAGTAGGCAAGATGAAGAAAGCTTGGAAAACATAAGGGGTGGTTCTAGAAGCCAGGACCACTGGTCAACCTCAGCAACTCTCTGTCTTGTTATCACCGCTGTGCCCAACTAGAGAAGCTAGAAAGGAATACTTTGCAAAGAGAGTAACACTACCTCCATCCTCTACTCCAACATAGCTTTTCTGGGCTGGCTCTCTTAATCTCATCCTTAACATTAGAACTGCATAATCCAATAAGGTAGCCACAACTAGCCTCATGTAGTTCTTAATTTTAGTTTAAAATTCAGTTCTTTGGTCACACCAGTCTCATTTCAAGTGTCTCTGGCTAGTAGCTCCCATATTGGGACAATGCGTAATAGTACATTTCCATCATCACAAAAAGGTCCTGTTGTATTGCATTGCCTGGGACCAACTGCCAGGCTCAGGAGTTGGTATACAAAATCTGTGCAATGCCAAAGGGGTTTTGTCTCCATCACTCACAGACAGCTTCTAGGAGCCACATGGCGTTCCCAACCACTGTAAAGAGGTCTACAAAACTATTTTCAAACACCATAAGGCCTTTGCACCAGTTATTACCAAATAATTTGGGATAATAAAATGAACATAAAAAATGCACATATGCTAAATACCTTCATAATTCAGACAAAATGAGATTTCAAATTAAATTTTAAGAAAAGGAAAAAAACATACTTCTTTTGGAAAAACATTCTGATTTTAACTTTTCTTCTTGTGCTTCAGTTGCCAACTCCCAGGAGATACACTGAGATGACCCTGTATCCCACACACACCGGATGCCAGGTCCTGCTGCCAGGCAAGCAGCTTCGCTCTGGTGTGCTCCACACCGTTCTGAGGTGAATACGAGGATGTCACTGAGAAGGAGACTATTGAAACCACCAAATACATACATGGTGCTAAAAGGGGAAAAAAAAAAGGAGAGGAGTAGTTTACTGAAAGTTTCTATATACAAATGCATGATAGGCTTTTTACAATCTTCAGACAAAATGTCCCCAAATGTCCATCAATTCAGGATGTGATGTGAGTAAACTATGGTACATCCACACAATGAAATAGCAGTCGGGAGATGTAAAAAGGAATGAGGACGATTTCTACATACTGCTATGGGGTGATCTTCAGGATATACTGCTGTGTAAAAAAAAAGGAAATGCAGAGAAATGTATATATTGTATACAACCATTTATCTAGTGAGGGAAGAAGGAAAACACACACACACACACACACACACATTCTTTTTTCATTTTAAAAACAAGAGCAATGGGGCGCCTGGGTGGTGCAGTCAGTTAAGCGTCCAACTCTTGGTTTCAGCCCAGGTCATGATCTCAGGGTTGTGAGATCAAGCCCCGTGTCAGGCTCTGCATTCAGCATGGAGTCTGCTTGGGACTCTCTCTCCCTCTCCCTCTGCCCCTCCTCCCCCCTCAAATAAATAAATAAATCTTAAAAAATTAAAAAAAAAAAAAACAAGAAAAACAAAGCTTCTATTTAACTTATCTTCTTTTTAAAAAAATTTATTTATTTATTTATTTATTTGCAAGACAGAGAGAGAGAAAGAGAGAGCGAGAGAATGAGTAGGGGGGAGGGGCAGAGGGAGAGGGAGAAGCAGGCTCCCCCCGCCGAGCAAGGAGTCGGACGCGGGGCTCAAGCCCGGGACCCTGGGATCATAACCTGAGCCAAAACTGACTGAGCCAACCAGGTGCCCCTCTTTAACTTATATTCTTAAAAGGGCTAGAAACAATGACCAACCTAGTAGCAATGGATATGACTTAGATTGTGATATCTAAAAACCATTCTTTCCCTTACCCCTCAAAAAAAAGACTAAGACTCTTTAGAGGCAATCCCTAGGACGTCAGGTTTAAAAATAAAAACAAGAAAAAACAACTAGGCAGAAAAAATCAGCAGTGGTACACTGGGGAGACAGACTCTAGAATTAGTCTATGCAAGACACTAAACAAACAGTAATAACAACCCCCGTGGTGATGGTGGGGGAATCAGAATCCACATCTGGTTATTACCTAAAAGGCTTGGTTTTCAACAAAATGTTACAATATATACAGGGGAGCCTGGGTGGCTCAGTCGGTTAAGCATCTGCCTTCAGCTCAGGTCATGATCCCAGAGTTCTGGGATCGAGCCTTGCATTGAGCTCCCTGCTCAGCGGGGAGTCTGCTTCTCCCTCCACTCCACCTGCTTGCTCATGCTCTCTCTCTCCCTCTCTCTCTCTCTCTCAAATAAATAAATAATAAATAAAATCTTAAAAAAAAAAAAAAGTGTGACCAAACAGAGGAAGCAAACAGTCTTGGCCCACATGTTGGACTCAAAAGACAAAGGCTTCAAATCAGCTATTACAAATATATTCCAAGAAAACTATGTCTGAAGAATTAAGTCAAAATAGGATATCAATGACTCAATAAGTAAAGACTATCAATAAGGAGACATAAATGATAAGGAATAATTAAAAGGAAATTCTGGAGTTGAAAAGTACAATAAGTGAAATGAAAAATTCACTAGAGGGACTCAGGAGACTTGAGCTGGCAGAAGAAAGAAACAGTGAACTTAAAGACACATCAATAGTGATTGTATAATCTGAAGAAAAGAAATGAAAAAATATCAAAGAAAATGGAAAGAGCTTCAGAGACTTGCAGGACACTGTCAAGTATCCAACATAAGCATAATGGGAGTCCCAGAAGGAAAGAAGTGAGAGAGAGCTGAAAACACACTTGGAGAAGTAATAGTTGAAAACTCCCCAAATTCGATGAAAAGGATTAATCTACACATCCATCCAACAGAGCTCAACAAACTCCAAGTTGAACAATCACAAAAAGATCCATGTTCACACACATTATTATCAAAAACTGCTGAAGCCCAAAACAAAGAGAAATTCTTGAAAGCAACAAAAGTAGGATAACTTTTCACATACAAGAGAATCACATTAATATTAATGGCTAAGACACAATGGAGGCCAGAAGGCAGAGGAATAAGATACTGAAAGTGATGGAAAGAAAAAAAAATGTCAAATAAGAATTCTCTATCCAACAAAACTATCCTTCAAAAATGAAACTGAAATAAAGACCTCCCCAGATAAACAAAGACTAAGAAAATTCTTTGCTATCAGGTCTACCTTATGAAAAATAGTAAAGTAACAATAATAGTTGAAGACTTTAATATCTCATTCTTAATAAAAGAACAACTAGGCATAAAATCAACAAGGATACACAAAACTTGAACAACATTATCAACCAATTTGACCTACTGGCATCTGTGGAACACTCCACCTAAATAGAGCAGCACACATATTCTTTTCAAGGGCACATGGAACATTCTCCTGGGGAGACCATATATGCTAGGCCATAAAAAAACAACAACAACTCAGTAAATGTTTTTTGTTTTTGTTTTTTTTAGGAAAGGAAATCTTCAAAGTATGTTCTCTGATCACCAAAATGGAACTAAATCATAAATCAACAGGTAGAAAATCTGTGAACTCCACAAATATTTGAAAAATAAACAACATATTCTGAATAACCTATGGGTCAAAGAAGAAATCACAAGGAAAATTAGAAAATATTTTTAACTAAATGAAAACAAAAATATGCCATTTCAAAATTTATGGGTTGGTATTAAAGTAGTACTTAGAGACAAGCTTACAGCTTTAAACACATATATTAGAAAAAAAAGAATTTAAAATCAATAATCTAAGTTTCCATCTTTAGAAAAGAAAAGCAAACTAAACCCAAAGCAATCAGAAGGGAGAAAATAATATCAAGAAGAAACAATAAAATATATACAGAAAGATGATAGAGAAAAATGAAATCAGAAATTTGTTCTTTGACAAGATCAATAAAATTGACAACCCTTTAGCTAGACCGACCAAGAACAAAGAGAAAAGATAAATTAACAAAATGAGGAATGAAGAAGGGACATCATTATTGACCTTACAGAAATTAAAAAGTATATAAAGAAATAGGAACTTTTATACCAACAAATTAGACAACTTAAATGAAACAAATTCCTAGCAAGACTGATTATCAAAATTATCTAGTTCCTCAGAAAACTTAAAAACAGAACTACAATATGATCTAGAAATTCCACTTCTGGGTATATAACCAAAAGAAACGAAAGCTAGGACTCAAATAGATATTTGTACATCCATGTTTACAGCAAACCAAGTACCTACTGACAGAAGAACAGATAAACAAAATGTGGTATACGTATATGAGAATATTATTCAGCCTTTGTTAAAAAGGAAAGAAATTCTGACACCTGCTACAACATGGATGAATGAACCTTGAGGATATTATGCAAAGTGAAATAAGCCAGCCACAAGAGGACAAATACTGATTCCAGCTAAAGGTACCTGAAGTAGTCAACTTCACAGAGACAGGAAGTAGTGTACTGGTTGCCGAAGGATGGGGGCAGGGCAGAATGGGAACGTATTGTTTAATGGGTAGAAAGTTTCAGTTTTGTGTGATGAAAAAAGTTCAGGAGATGAATGGCAGTGATGACTGCACACAATGTGTGCTATTAAACCACACACGTCAAAACGATTAAGACAGTAAATCTTATGTTATGAAAATTTTATCACAATTAAAAAAAAAATCTAAAAAAATCTGAACAGATAAACCTATCACAAGTAAAGACTGAATTCACAATTTTTAAAATCTTTCCACAAAGAAAAGTCTAGGCCCAGATGAATTCTACCAAACATCAAACATGTCAAGTGTAATACCGATCCTTTACAAGTCTTTCCAGTAACTAGAGGGGGAAAGAATACTTCCTAATTTATTCTGTCCAATATTAATCAGACAAATATATCAAAAAACACCCCACAAAACTATGGAGCAATATCCCTCATGAATATAGACAGGACATTTTTGAACGAGGACATTTTGTGGGTAATGGATATGTTATCTCAATCGTGGTGATCATTTCACAAGTGTATACTTACGTCAAGTTATCAAAGTATACGCTGTAAGTATATTCAATCTGTTGCGTATATGAACTCTACTTCAATAAAGCTGTTAACAGGCCATACATGCAGAATCACACATATTCAAAACAAAAGCAATTGTGCAGTAGCTCCAGGGAAAGTTCTTAAAATGCTACTGTGGGAGGCCAATGCCAGCAAATGATGCAGTTGGTCTCACAGAGTACACTGGGCCATATCCACCACCTACATGATATGTCTATGCCTCTTGTGTGACATTTGCTGGGACATCCTCAATTGGAACCTGAAGAAAGAGTCAGGCTGGAGGCTATATAGACCAGAGATACAACGCTATCCTTAAACATAATAACCTCTGGCAAAAATCCAAAGAACAGAAACAAGATCATTTGGCAGAAGAGACAGAGAAGTGGATTCCAGATAATATAAAGGAGAACCTGCTAATGACTGGTGTCTACAGAAAAGGAAGGAGCTTCCTTCTTAGGTGGGTTTTCCATCCCTGGACATGTTTAAAGGGGATGCCTGCAGTAAGTGGAAGTGTTGAGCAGATGACTTCAGATCCCTTCCAACTCTGAGATCCTATGATCTGCCAGGAAGTTTAGAACTAACCCACAGTGAGGTATCAAGAAATTCACTCTCACTTGCCTCAATTTCCTTCAAATTAACACAAGACTAACTTACTAAACGCATACAGATTTTTGTGGCTAAGTGTCTGTTATATACTATATCTGAAAATGGACACATTTCAGTGACCAAAAATGAACCCCATGTTTAATTTCTAATCTCACTATTGGTTTAGTATCACGTTTTTTTAGCATTCTGGATTCAACTCGTCAATCTGCTGCTTAAACCAAATAAGCTGCCCCCCGCCCCAGTACAGCTGGTGTTTTCAGCAATTCTGAATCCATCTGGTCACACGTGGGCTATGTGAGGTACGCAGAGCCCTTCAAAAAGGCCTGGAGCAGGCAAGTGAAAGGAACAGCTGCTTCTTCGCAGCCCCAGTGCCTCACGGCCAGCTCCTCACCCCACCTCCCTCACAAAAACCACGAGGACAGCAACTAAGTGAGGTATGGCTGACCCAAAGCTGCTGACGGACTAAGAAAACCACCACTTGGAATACGAAGAAATGATATCAAAGTTTCTCTCCCAGTAAATTCTTTCACAAAATGAAACTAGCCATGGGCTCTCCTGTCATCAGCTGCCCCCTCCAACCCTGCCCCGTACACACGGATGATTCACAGATAGGCCCAAATACACCACTGGAATTACACAGAAATGAAAACATTATTTTAAGTCAGGCAAGCCATTCCTAATTTTGATTCATGGTTCAATTCTGTCGTATGGCAAACTGTCATCTTCTCTGAGTTTATACAAAACCTTAGGATGTTTTAATAGAAGATCCATTTATTTGCTTGTTACCATGACCATACTAAGAGCTGCTACAATTTAGAGAATGTCTATTATGTGCTAAATACTGTGCTAGGAGAACCACGGGCACAAAGATGAATAAAGCAGAGGCCAGGCGCCCAAGGTAATGACAAAACAGCCCCACTGCTTTTCAGATGAAAGCATCAAGAGGGACTCACTAGAAATCTTCAGGGTTTTCCTCACTGAGGAAGTATCAGCCTACAATTTAAGATGACACTTCAAATTAGTAAGGGTGTCAGTCTATACTATCCCATGTTCTCACAGGAAAACCACGTTTATCACTAAATTGCAGCTGAGTGATTACTTTAAAAAGTTGTCACCTTTTCCTAATATCTAAGTATCTGAATTTTGTCAATTCTTCCTTCATGACATCGGCAAGACATGCTGCTGGCTCATCTTTTCTAATCCCAGGTCTTCATCTCATCTTGCATCATAACAACAGAAATTTTGAAAGCCAAGGAATCCTAACATAATGTAGGCGTTGTAGCACTTAGGTAGTTTCAGGATCGATAAGGCTCAGAATTTTAGAAGGAGAAACAGACAATACTCATAACAGCTGAAACAAAATGGGAAAAATTAAGAACGTGATTAGGCTGTTTAACGAATCACAAATCTTTATTTATTTTTAAGATTTTATTTTTCAGTAACCTCTACACCCAATGTGGGGCTCAAGATCACAACCCTGGGGGCAAGAATTGCATGCTCCACCAACTGAGCCAGCCAGGTTCCCCAACAAATCACAAATCTTTAAAGCATACTGTGAGGAATGGGCAGAGTGCCCATTCTGGATCCCCCTTCTCCGGGGGCGGATTTATTTAGCTCGGGCCAGGCATTTTTGAGGGATGCAATGAAATGCAGTACAGACTTCAGAATATCCAAAGACTGCAGATTTACCTGTATGAAGCTTCACAATCTCCCCACCTCTGTCCCTCTATCCTATCTCCCATCCGAAGTGTCCTCTCTCCTCTTTTCTAATCCCTCCTTACCACTCAGATGCAGTGATAAGAAACCTGACAACCCAAGTACCGCAAACAACAGTGAACAGCGGGGGGCATAAGACAGTAACTACATAGAACTCCTGTTGTCCCATGCATTCAGACAGCACCAAACAGCATACTCCCCGCATGCTAACAAACTTGGCATCAGAAGTAATTCAAATCCACATCAGACATTTTTTTTTAAATTTTTTAAAAAAGATTTTGTTTCTTAGAGAGAGAGAGATAGCGAGAGAAGGAACACAAGAAGGGGGAGTGGGAGAGGGAGAAGCAGGCTTCTCACCAAGCAGGGAGCCCGACGTGGGACTCGATCCCAGGACCCTAGGATCATGACCTGAGCCGAGGGCAGATGCTTAATGACTGAGCCCCCCAGGTGCCCCACATCACACATTTTAAATAGAAATCAGGAAATTCAGACCTACATAATTCTGTGACAAACTAATGGGCTGAAGGGATCCCGCAAATAATATATTAAGTCCAATTCCACTTCTTCATGTTCAACTTCGCTTACATTTTAAACACAAGAGAATAGGGACAAGCGCTTCTTCAGCTAAGTACCTGTTGTGTAAGACTGCTGAATGGCCAAATCTGTTGACATCATGGTGGAGATCAGGTCTGGGAAGCACTGACCAGCGGTCACAAGCTAGGAGCAAGAAAAATACATTTCAGAAGGAACCGCTCTTCATAATCAGCGGGAAATGGCATCTTCTTTGGGGAGAAGACTATGACAAGCACAACCTCATAAAATGTATCTCTTGGTTTTTCTTAATCACGCCATTATTTCTGAGGTAAAATACGGCAAAAGCAGAACAGCAGGGCATGGAAGAAGAATAGGACGATACAGCAATTCTAATTCATGAATGCATCCAACATCCATGACACTCACATCACTCATTCTGTTGCCCATCAATTTTACCCACTAGCACGCTTCTTAACTTAGGTAAATTTTATATTTTTCAAAACTTATGTAAGTAAAATATGTGCATTCCGTAATTATTTTCTACTCCACGTTGATTTGCCCAAACTCAGCGGTTAAAACAAGAAAATACAGGTGAAAGATGAAAACTAAAAATAAAAAATAAAAAAAATTCCAACTTCAAGTCCTTTCCTAGAACCCCTAGCATCTACTGATTTTCCTTTGTTCTGACCCATGCTAGCAATTCTCTTCTGGACCTTAATCTAATTGGCACCGCAGAACCCTGCCAACCTCACTCATACTCGCTTTCTGAAACACTCAGACATTCACGCTCACTAAGCAAACACTCTTCTACTCGATCCAGACCTTTATTCAACCTTAACAACAACAGCTTTCACTTCCTCCTCCCCAGCCTAGATTCCGTGGTCTTCTTCACACGGAGAAGAGGCCATCAACTCTCATAGCTTCCTGCCCACCCACCTTGCTTCTCTCCCTAAAACCACAAGGTGGCAGGAACGCCTTCCTCTTGTCCCACCTGGCTTTTAAATGTGCTCAAGGAGGCACTCAACTATGCCTTCTCTTCCCTTCACAGAGAAGAGCGGTATTTTTTCCTTTTTCTTTCTTTCTTTCTTTTTTTTACTAAAACAGTCAACCTTCATGGTGTACATCTCACCTTACATGACTGCAATCTGGATTACTCCTTCCTGTCTAGAGGCTAACAAACATCATTGTTGCTAAATCCAAAAGGCTCTCCGGGCTTTGTTTTCCTTAAGTCCCCTGCAGCCACTGGTAACTGCTCTCTCACAGGTCACCGATCTTGCCTCACGTTCCTCCTGCTTCTCCAACATGCCTGCACAGTCTCCACTCTCCTGCAGACATTTTATCCATCCATGCTCTGGCTCTCTGCTCATCCCTGATGATACATGCTCCATAGAGGCTTGCCCCTGCTTTGGGCTTCCCACTGACCTCTGTATGGCTCGGTCCCATGGTCATCTCCAGCTGAACATGCCCCCGAACCCATTTTACTCCCTTCCTCCCAGCCCAGTCCCTCTCCTTCTACTTCCAGCCTTGGTAAAAAGCACCGTCTACCACGGTTTTGACAAAACACCACCAGGTACCTGGCAATAAGGATGTGTTCGCCTCTCTCAAAACACACCCCAACAATCCCCAAGTTCCCAGCAGTTCTCAAACCCATCTCTCTCTTTAACCTCACTGCCACTTCAACAGCCTTGGTTCCAACCCTCCTCGGGATTTTGCAACAGCCTCCGAACTCCTATCTTGCCCCTTCCCGACTACTCACCACAATGCCACAAAGAGATCTTCCTAAGACACAAATACGATTCCATCAGCTCTTCTGTAAGAATCTTCAAAAAGCCCAAATTCCTTAGCATGATGTAACAGGTCTCTCAAGATCTGACTAGTCTGCTAGCTCTTTGCTTCTCTAGTTCTGCCGGAAGCCATTCCTCCCCGATGCGCAGCTGATAACAGCCAAAACTACTCACAGGCCCCAAGCATGTGGTAGGGTCTCTTTTTGCCTCTGTGTCTCCGTGTACATGGGCTTCCTTCATGTGAGAAGTGCTGCCTACCTTCACCTCGCTGACTTCCTCAGGACCCAGACCCTACTCAAGAAGGCTTCCCCTGATCCTAACCCCTTTTCTCTTGAGTTAAGGCACGCCCATAGATGCTCTCATATATTCCTCTCAGAACAAGTAACACTCTGAATTGCAATTATATTGTCTGCTCAGCTTTCTGCCTCCGCCACTGTGAGGCCAAGCACTGTAATGTACTCATCTTACAATCCCTGAGCTCAGTGGCTGGCACACGTATGTCTGCTAAAAAAGAACGTCTGATGATAACTACACAAGAGAATTTCTAGGACTTGTTTTGCATGAACAAATACTGCCCTCTTCTGGTCAAGTATATTACCACTCCAAAAAATGTTTAAATTCCATGTCAAAGTAGACTTCAAAAATGTGTAAAACCAATTTTTTAGGGAATGCGATAAAGCTATTAGTTAAACCAACTTAACACAATGCTGGTGGTCACAACTACGTAAGACTATTTTTTTAAAAGATTTTATTTATTTGACAGAGAGAGAGAGAGTGCACACAAGCAGGCAGAGTGCAGCAGAGAGAGAGGGAGAAGCAGGCTCCCCACTGAGCAGGGAGCTCGACGTGGGGTTCGATCCCAGGATCCCGGGGTCATGACCTGAGCCGAAGGCAGATGCTTAACTAAGCCACCCAGGCGCCCACTACATAAGACTATTACATAAGGCATTTGTTTGTAACACAGAAGAAGTTGGTCACCCCAACTCACCCTCAAAAATTAACATTCAACCAATTAATGGGAGTGATTTCACTTAATAGAACTTAATATAGAAAAATATAAAAACTAAATAAGAAATATAAACAAGAACTTAATATGGAATGCTTTTTTTTTTTTTTTAAACATATAGTATTTGTCACATGAATATAAAAAATACCATTTGGACCTCTTTCAAATGGCCTGACACTCCCAACTAGCGATATTTTCAGTTTCTTTTAAATGCTGCTTATAGTTGGTTAAGCGTCCGACTCTTGATTTTGGCAAGGATCATGATCACAGGGTCATGAGATAGAGTCCTGCATTGCGCTCTGTGCTGGGTGTGGAGCCTGCTTAAGATACTCTCTCTTCCCCCTCCCTCTGCCCCTCCATTCCCCGCTCCTGCTCTCTCTCAAAAAAAGAAAATGTTGCTCATAGACAAAAAAGATTCTTGAAACTAAAATGGCTTTAGGAAACTTACCAATGTCATAAGCCATAAAATCCGAAGAGAAGCATTTGGCACCATGGCTCATGGATGTGTCATTGTGTGTGTTTCCTCCAAACACCAGCATGGTTCCACTCACTATCACAGCTGTGTGTAAGTAACGGAAAAATCGGCTGTCCTTAAGAATGGTCCTTTTGAGTTTATTTAAAGATAATAAATACAAGGTTAGTTTTTTAGAATATCATCTATCTGCTAATGCAAACACAACCATTTTCTTAACTTCAGATCCAAATGTGCAAATACTTCTAGATTTTGCCCTATATATAACTTTCTCAACAATAAATAAATACGTAAAATCTTAAAGGCCTATGAGAATTTTGACAAAACATACTAAGAGTCTTAAAACTGTTCCTATCTCTTGATGTAATGTATGGTGGTTAACATAACAATAAAAAATTATTAAAAAAAAAAAAAAACTGTTCCTATCTCACATGACCCTATACTTTGTTTCTGGGTAGAAATCACATCAAATACAGACAAAAGCTTATATACAATGCCTTAATGATAAGACAACAACTAGAAACCAGAACTTCTAACTGCCCTCAGTACACCCACATGACAGAGTATTTACACAGCCACTAAAAATGACAGACAGAATGTAAAAGGGTATCCAGAGCATGGTCTCAAATATGTAAGAAAATACAAAAAGAAAGAAGAGAAATCATTGCCTTATATAATGACATTATTTCATAACTCAAATTTGTTTTACATTTATTAAAATTAGCACACTTTATATATAGTTCAGTTTATAGCAGAGGGAGGAGGGTTCTAATTCAGGTCCTGAGACCACCTCTGTTTGATGATTTCATGCAGTGACGCCAGTAACTAACCCCAATGATGACACTTTAGTCATCAAGAAAAGGTTAAAAAATGGGTATGTTTTACTTATTGCAGCAATGTGCAGACATTACAGCTTTGTGGAACAATTTATTCCTCAGGGTTTTGAAGAGCTAAAATTTTATAGAGGTACTGAGTTTATGAAAATTGAAAAAACAGTCAAAAAATATCAGGCATTTTCTAATCAATCTACTACAAAATAAATACTAGCTATATTATTACCTTCTGCTTCTTTCCCAACTTCTCTATCTACAATGCTGAAGAGAATTATGTGTTAGGCCTGAAAACAAAAATATAGCCCAATATTTTCCCGACAATTGCTAGAATTCACACCATAGAGTAAAAGCTCAAGAAAAAGCACCCACCACATCTGGGTGTCCACATCGTATCTGTAGAGATCATCTGCGAGCCGGTATTTATTGGCGCTGAAAGCCTTGTAGCCCCCATGAACATACAGGGCCTTCGTCCTGTGGTCATAGACACTGCTATGACCATAGCCCCCTTGGACAAGGGCACCACTGGTTTGTAATATACTCCATGTGTTCTTAGCTGGAAGAGGGAAACAGTTAAAGGCAAACGTTGCAGGCTCCTCCTCTCTAATACTTAAAATGACCAATTGGTTTAAAATAAGAGATTTCAGGAGGCTTGATACGTATAAATTTCTTTTATCTTTTTATTTTTAAAGGAAGCCCATCTAAAACTTGTAACAAAGCCAGGTGGCCAAACATCAATCTGTTAAATGTTCTGACGTTCTACTATACCATGTAGGAAAATAATTACATTAAATGTAAAAGACTCAGATTTCCCTCAGTGGAACACTTAATACCCCGAGACCTTCAGTGACCAATACACAGATGTACTTTAGGGACCTACTTTTTCAAACTATCAATTAGAGGTGGTGCTCCCACACCATCACAACAGATATAATAAAATTTAACCAGTGGAAAGATTACACATTAAGGGGAAATCACAGTCCATTAAACCAATATCTAAAGGGTTGTCTAAATTTTTTTCTTCAGAATATCTGTTGTTCCAAATCATTTTTATTTATTTCTTTTTTTTTTAAAGATTTTATTTATTTATTTGACAGAGAGACACAGCAAGAGAGGGAACACAAGCAAGGGGAGTGGGAGAGGGAGAAGCAGGCTTCCTGTGGAGCAGGGAGCCCGATGCGGGGGTCGATCCCAGGACCCTGGGATCATGACTCTGAGCCGAAGGCAGATGCTTTAACGACTGAGCCACCCAGGAGCCCCTATTTATTTATTTTCAACACCAAAAACATTTAGTGCTGTCCTTAACTCCTCACCAAATTGACAGTAACAAATATATACTACATAGCAGCAGCAATAATCTGAATTTCACTGGTCACACATGAACATTAACCGCATTTCAAGATAAAGTACTGGGGTCAAAGTTAGGTGGAATCTTGTTAAACAGGCATAATAATAAGGGTAAAGGTTTTAAATCTGACGTTCAAAAAGGATCCACTAGAAAAAATACACCTACCCAAGTCATATTCCTGTACATTGCTTATATATCCATAGAGAGGGCAATGACCAAAGATGACCAGCATGACCACTCGGCCAGTTTTCAATGTGACAATGTGCGCCGAGTGCCCGACCACTGCATACTGCTCCTTGGCTTTAGGGGTCAACAATATCCATGACTCATTATGAATATGGAACACTCTCAATTCATTGGTCACATTCCCTGTTGAATCAATTTTTCCTCCATACATGTAAATTTTATCCTAGGGAAAAAAATGCAAACAAAATTCTAAAAAAATCAAAAGCATCAAACTTGAGAAACAAAAGTTCAAAACCTCGTTGTTATTCTTAGCTTAAGAAGTGCTAGTGAAATACACCTTTTAGTGAATTATTAGGAAAAGAATGAAAGGAACAACATAAAACAAAACATCATATTCTGTATCTCCAATACTTCGCTACTGTTCTTGGACTTCCTCATATGAGATCTCTTACGGTATAAAATGGCTTGTAAAAATAAAGTTGAAGAGTCCCCTCAACCTCCCGAAACCACAAAAACAAGGAAATGAAAGTGATTATTCAGTTATATTGCAATGTGGCTATTCTTGGCTAAACTTGCTAATTAACATAAAAGCTAATTTACACAGTATTAATTTTTAACCATTTAGTACTACAATCATAACATCCCAGTACAATATGAATCCATTAAAATCTCTCAGGTCAAACTGGTTTCAACTTTAATTTCCACTTACAACTTAGCCAACTGTATTACCCCCCCAAAACAGAAAGTTTCTCCCTAACTAAAAACCAAAACTCACGTCAAAATTAGAGAGACAGAGAGTAGAATGGTGGTTGTCAGGGGCTGGAGGGGAGGAGGGATATGGGGAGTTATTGTTTCATAGGCATAGAGTTATAGTTTTACAAAATGAAAAGAGTTACTGAGATGAATGGTAGTGGTAGTTGCACAAATGGAATGTATTTAATACCACTGAACTGTACACTTAAAAATGGTTAAGACAGTAAATTTTACATTATGTGTATTTTACCACAATAAAAAAGATTAGAGACAAAACCCCAACGCTACGTACCTTTTCAACTACATAATATAATAAGGCATGTGTGGAAGACTGGAGTTTCTAGCTTGGTACAGAAGGGAGACACTTTACCTTGTTTAATGCTAAAGAATGGCCGTATCTGACAACCACACTGTTCACGGAACGGTTTAGGGTAAGCCACTCCCTAGAAGCAAGGTCATACCTACAAAACAAACAGATCATATTTTCACCCAAATGACAAAGCAGAGTATCTTATACTCTTCTATTTGATATCATGCAGTTTGGAGATGCTCATTGAACAAGCAATGCAATGAGGCAGCTCTGAAAACAAACAAACCTAACAGCTGGGTCCATGGGGCATATCAGAACTTGGGAAGGGGGGCTGGGCTGCACAACCCTGGGACGAGGAAAAAAAATCTACTGGAAGTTTCTACGCTTCCTGAAAACCTCTTCTACATACAGTCTAAATCACTTGCAAGTTGTGTTATACCGAAGGGACATTTACTATCATAACTTCTCTTTCATTTAGTCATTTGAAATTGAAGACAGGTACTGAAAAAGGAATGATGATTAAGTAAAAGAAAACTCCTAACTTTTCCTTTTCTTTATCTAATTGATTTTTTTAAAGTCATATGTTCAAGAAAGCTAGAATATCATTTGGCATTTCAATTATACTATGAATTCACTTAGACTTTTAAAATACGAACATTTAGTAAACATCATTCCAGACATTTTTCAATGCATATATACAAACAGAAAAATACACTGACAATATATATTTATACAAAGGGGATCATGCCACAGATACTTTTAATAGTGTTAATTTGTATATAATTTAATAGAAAAAAGAAATCAAAGGGAAATCAATGCTATTGTTCTACTTTAAATATGTTATTTTCTATAAGTTTTCCTGAATAATCCAAGTTTTTTATGATGAAAAACATTATTATGTAATGTTTTAAGAAGATATAAGAAAGTCTTATCGACATAAAAAGCAAGAAAGGATACAAATAAATGTCCATCAATAGAAAATGGATTAATAAATTATAGTATATCTATATAATAGAATTATAGAGTGAAAAATACACTCAATACATTCAACATAAATCTCAAAACAATGTTAAGCTAAAAAACCAAACTGCAGAATACTGTTTCTGTAATGACTGAAAACAGAAAATTTATTAATTCTAATATATGTTCATATATATTAAAAGTGTAAAGATATGTATGTGAACAAACGACACCACAAAATCAGGATATTGGTTATCTTTGAAACTGGGGAGGAGGCATGCAGGGGTTTCTAATTATATTAGCAATGTCTTATTTCCTAACCTAGGTGGTGTATGCATTAGTATTCATTATTCTTCTCTAAACCTTTCCTTTTGTCTTAAATATTTTACACATGATCTAAAACAAAATGGGGACATTTACTGAATATGAATACTACATTAATACCAGCTATTATTTTATGTATTATCTGAATATTCCACATTTTTAAAAACACATGAAAAATTATTTAGAAGTTGGATTCACTTTAGTTTTTAAGTTACATACAAAATTAAGTTAATTTTAGACAGAATCCACTAACTTCCTTCCTTGAAAGTTGAAAACCTTAGCACCCACATTTCCTCCCATTTCTTCTCCCAATTTTTGTTATGTAATTTTTACACTGTCCAGGTCTGCAATACATTCCACTCTATAACTGTGATTCCATAGTTCTTTAGTACTGGACCTCTTTTTTAGCTGAAGCAATCTCCTCACTATCCTCTCACCACAACTTCTCCTTGAGTCTTTAATTCTTAATTGGCTGGATTTTGCTGCCAAGTGGTTATTTTCCTGTGGAGCTCATAAATGGCTCCTTTCCCTAAATTCTCTGGTGTTTAAGAATATGGGCTTGCTAGCTTTACAGCTGAATGACATTTTGGCTGGGTATAATATCTTGGGCCATCCTTTCTTGCCTTCAGAACTTTGCAGATGCTGCTCCCCTGAATAATACGGATAGTGAATGCTACGATGGAGAAGCCCAAAGCCAGTCTGATTTTTCCTGTTTTTATGTGGTTTGCTTTTCTGTTTGGAAGCCTGAAGAACTCTGTCACTCTCATTTTCTCTCCTCCTCCCTTTCTCTCCCTCCTTTCTTTTTTCACTATTTTTTAAAGTCACAATATTATATTTTACTTAGGTAGAAATAACTAAAATCCAAACAGGGTAATGTCTTTACAAAATGGACTACGTACCACTGCAATACTTTTACGGAGCTCTGGCTGCAGAAGGTCTTTCCTGAGGACTAGCATGGCTTCTGAAAACACATAATACACCTAATGTTCAAGCCAGAGGCCTGTCTCTCTAAGCTTGAAAGAGAGGAAAGAGGGAGCCCAAATCTCTAGATGATTTAATTCCCTTCTCTTTCAAGTGACATGGAGAGTGCTCAATCTGTATCTTAATGCATTTTGCTCCTCCTAGTCAATGACAGGTTAGCTCTAGCTCAAGAGCTTGTCAGAGACACTAAGGCACTGGCAGGTCCCAGTAACTTGGCGCAGATGAACTGCCAAAAGATCTTACATAACAAGTTGTGACTCTTTTCACGACCCAGAGAAGCAAATACAAGTTAAGAAAAATATTGATGCAATAAAGCATAAGAAATTCCAAGTACTAAATAAATTCTTCCGGGAGCTCAGTCCAAGATAACAGAATACTGAACAACTAGTTCTAAGACCTGGACAAGCAGAGAAGCAAAGACAAACTTCAGGAATTCAGAAACAGGTGACTTCCAGTGCTGCACCATCTCTCTCACAAACTCCTCCTTGCTAGCTGGTCTGATGATGACCATCATGGCACAGGGCCACCATCCACAGTGGCCTGGTATTCCAATCACAGTGTCTGACCATCCAAAGACCATGGCGAAGGCTCTGTGCAGACTGAACATGACCCCAGCCAGAGGAGGCACAGAACTCCCTGAGGCTTCCCACCCAAGAACTTGTCCTTTATCCTAAAAGTTCAATAACTTGATCAAATCAGGTCTTGTTGAACAGCTATATAATTTTCCTGAAACTTCTTGTGCAATTTCAATCAGTTTGTCCTATTTGTTAGGTTCCTTTCTTCAGTGGCAGCAACTATCTTTATATTGGATCTCCTGTCTTCCACATGTCTTTGCTTTTCTAATTATTTCAACCTATATTCGTTGGAATGTCTATAAAGCTATCAGTAATTCAATTTTCATTCCAGTTTTTTCTGTATGTAATTTATTTACATTTCTTTAGATGTGTAATCTTCCATTTCATCTCACTGTTATCATTTTCTTGTCTGTTTTTTTTTTAATTCAAATTCTCATTAAGTTGATGTGCAGCATCAAGCAGTTGGAAGCAATCTCCTTATTATTTTTCCTCTATGATCAGTTGTCAGCATTTACGTGCTGTTTTCTTCCTCTTTATTTTCCCATCATAGGCTATTTGCATTAGCTACAACATCATTTCTTTCATCTTGCTTGTGGTTAGATATTGCTCTCCAGACATTTGCAAAGCGTGGGTGATTTCTTGATTCTTTTTCTGCAGTACCTAAGACAACTTTACTCTTCCATCCTAGTTGTAGTGTGAGAGCTAATATTTTATGTTCTATCCACTGTTCTGAAGTCTGAGGACATGCTGGGGCTCAGACAGGGGAGTATATAATCTATTAGAATAAACCACCCAGACTCTGCTCTCCTCGGAGATTTTAAGTGTCCTGATTCAAGGCATAGCCCAAATTAGAAGCAGCCCCGACTTTTGGGCAGAGAGAGTCAGCCACCCAATTAATTTCCCCTCTTTCCACCCAAGCCCTCCACAGCAACGATTTCTTCCACTCTTCAATTAAGAGAGTGAAATAACAATGATCCCCACTCAGTTTGCATCTGTCTAGATTTGGGGTTATTTGTAAGAGCTCTCAGAATCTCACCCATACAGTTTCTGTGGGGCAAAAAAAAGGGTCAGTTGTATGGTTCCTGTGAGTCTGTTTTAAAGTTTACTGGATTAGGTAATACTCCTTTCCTCATTTGGTTACCTGCTGCTCAATCTTTCTTTTTCTTTTTAAATTTTTTTTTTAAGAAAGAGAGAGAGAGAATCTGAGTGGGGTGGGGTGGGGAGGGCAGGGAGAGGGAGAGAGAAAATCTTAAGCAGGCTCCACACTCAGCGCAGGGCCCAAGGTAAGGCTCGATCCCACAACCCTGAGATCATGACCTGAGCTGAAATCAAGAATTGGATGATTAACTGACTGAGCCACCCAGGTGCCCCTTTACTTTTTCTTTTTAAACATTTTTTTTAAATTTTGCTTAAAGGAAGGAAATTCAGTGATAGTTTCAACTGGAAATCTTAACCTAGGTGACCAAGACCATTTGTCTAAGAGGACTCTTAGGTGACATAAAATGGGGACTGCTTTCTAACGCAACTTAAAAGTTTTGGATTAACAGGGTTGTGGAAAAAATAGTAAGCTCAACTGCTGAAATATGCTTATGTAAGAGTATAAATGATGATAAAATTTATAATCTAAGTTTCAGAAATACTTCTTCTAAAAGAGGTCACTGTATTTTTACTTTCCATGAGTTAGTAAAAATTTATTTGAAACTATATTAACTTTTTACATGAAACACATAAAGCTGTTAAAATCATGTTTTGATCAAGTACAAGCAGAAAAAATTTTACAAACACATGTGGCTCAGGAGGTATACCAGTCACATAAAAGCAAGAGGTGACATTAATATTTCCAGGAACAAATATTTGTGAGGGAAATAAATAATTCATTTACTCTCCTATTCACCTGATAAACACTTACTTGAGCACATTCAATGAGCTAAGCTCTGAGCTGAGTGAGCAAACAAGGTCTCTAACCTCAGAGAACATAGTGGAAAAGGCAAAAAATAAGCAAATGCAACAAGGAGCACATACAGCATTAAAAATGATGCCCACTGCTCTAAAGGAAATGAGAACTATGAAAAAGAACAGGGAGAACCTGACAGAACTGGATGATCGGGAAAGATCTCTTGTGGTACAGTTAACTGAGATCTAACAGGTGAGAAGAAAACAGCCCTGGGGTACAACAGCAGGAAGAGTCTGGACCAAAGGGAGGAGTGAGCACAAAGGCCTTTAGAGTAAGGATGCACCCAGAGAGTTTTAGGTAAAGCTAGAAGGCTGGGGAGACAGGAAAGGAACAAGTTGAGTCTGGGAAGGTAAGCAG